AACTTTAAAAGTACAAAAAAGTATAAAACTTTTTTATTTATAACTATATACTTGCTCAAATATTGGTATCATATACTCTGAAGGGGGTGGGAGGGAGGGAAGAGCTGATATTCAAATGTATTATACTAATCTGGCAGAGGAAGAAGCTGCAGCAAATAATTTATCTTTGACAAGTTCGGAATCTACTCAGTGTTCGATTATTTAATCCGATTCCTATTTATAAAAAAGAACCTTGAAAGGTAAAGCAAATCGAATGAAACAATCGATGTAGCTAACGTAATCCAGATGACGTGTGGGAATAAAACTGGTTGGATTTTGTTGAAATATGTCAAACAACAATCTCGAAAAACCAGTTTGTTCTTATTAAATGTGAGGTCCCTGCCACTTCGTCATAACTGATTCTTCAGTATAACTTAAACCTGATACTTTATCAATCAATTAGTTATCTGTATTGTTGTTTTTCAATGAAAGTCTTAAATGGAATATTTTATATTATTTTTAAGGCAAAAAAAAACATTTTTTTTTCTTATTCTCAATAATATAATAACTAATTTGATATGTGACAATATTGATGTATCAAACGACTTTTTGTTACATTTTAAGGCTTAATCGTAATCGTAAAGTGTTTATTTTTTACTGTATAAAATTGTTATTAAAAGTTAACTGTAAATATTGCCTTTAAGTAGTTATTTTGTTAGATTAGTTTATTTTTGTTTAGTAGTTATTATCTCTTAGTTTATATACATTTAGTTCTAGTATTATGAAATTACTGTTTATTTATTGTGCTAAGTATGAATAAACTACTGTTTATCAATATTACTATTATCCTTAAATGTGACAGATTGTAATATATCTCAATAAAGAAATTTCCTAATAAAATTATAACACAAAAAAAAAAAAAAAATTGACAGTAAGATGATTCGGCTCGCCCATTTTTATTTCACTTGCTTATATATGTAACATATACAAAGGGACAGTATTGCGATAGTAAAAATTCTGGAATCTGTTTAATCAACGGAAATAAGCTTCCATTCGTGACACGTGTTTAATAAAATACGGGCTTCATATATATTATATACATATACATATGCGGTTTTCATAAATGCTAGAGTTGGTATTATTTAATATTTAATTGTACACAGTACAGCAATATAAAAATTACTCTTTGTATATAAATTTGTACTTAAACAAATAAAAATCCCTAGAATGAAATATAAATAAAAATAAAGCACCGTTGTGGTAGTCTTGTATAATATTTCGTGGCATTTAATTATTTACTATGATCAAATAAATAATTAAAATAGACAGTCTTAAAAGGAAATAGTTCATGACAAAGAAACCAAAAATATAATACATTAAACGGCTGTAAAAAACACATGATAATTAATTGTTTGAAATAATATTTTCTACCATCTATAATTTTTACTTTCAAAAAATAGTGCGGTAAATGAAAGTTGTGTGATGCGCGTATCGCACCATATTTTTGTGTTTATAACTGTTCTATTACTAATTTACTAGCTAACCACGGGCGGGTCCACGGGGGGAAGGAGGGATCTTTGGGTCTGAAGCCCCTACCTCCAAAATGGTATAATATAAGCATGTTTTAAATATTAAAAAATTATCTCTTAAAGTATTATTGTTTGTGTAATTACATTTAAAAGGACTTTAGGAATCACTCAAATGCCATTTCCTATTCGTAGTTAGTTTCTTTATTTTTTTCCAAAGTAATTATCGTCATTTTTAAGAAAAAAAAAGCTTTCGGGTTGAAGTCCTCCCCCCCAAAAAATTAAATCCTGGATCCGCTAGTGTAGCTAACTTATTATTAACTTAAGTTAGAAGTGTTTAGAAATGGACTGAGCTGATCGAACTTGAATCGGAGCCGCTGCTGTAGTCAAGTTATTAAACAATGGGTTCCAAAGTGTTTTAATTAGTCCATGCATTTTATGTTTTGGAAGTTCAAAGATGTCATGAAGCTGATCTACCTAAAGGTTTCTTTAATGATGTACATTTCCAAATGGAGAATGTGCTTATAAGTAGAGATATTATTCATGATAAATTAATGGAGGTACAATTTTATTGTTCAGTTTTCGTTAAAAGTTAATTTTCATTAAAATGTCTGAAAATAATTATTTTTCATCTGAATGTTTTTAAGCTAAATCTCAACATGCAATGGTATACATTTATAAAAAAAAAAAAAACTACATAAAACAAGATTGACAAAAATGTAATTCGTTAAAGAATTTAATTCATGAAAGAACAATATGATAAAATTACAAAAATAAGTTTTGGGTTTTCCTGTATTTAAAAAATATATCAAAATCAAACTTCTTCTGTACTAATTGTGAGTTGATGGTTGAATGTTGTGAATAATTGAAGAGAAGTATAGTTGAGGTGATCAGTCAAATAAAATATGGCAAAAATAAATAATAATATTTATTTTTACATTTATGTTTCGGCCCGAAGTTCAGGACTTCATCAGCGGTGAGAAAAGAAACATCAACAACTTAGGTAGAAAAACTTAAAGTAACATTAAGTAGATAAGTGAACATTAAAGTAGATAGAATAATAACAATAACAGAGGACTAAGGAATAAATCATACGGCTAAAAAGTGTAGACTAATGAAGTAAACATAATCAAAATAAGGTAACACGAGAACTGAAAATGGTAATCTTAGAAATAAAATATAAAACAGAGAAATGGAATATGAAGTTATATAAGGAAATAATAGATATAGATAGAAAATTGAGATATTGTAAAATCTATCAAAATTTACTGATAGAAAAAAAATAAATGAGCAAATGTATCAATATATACAAAGTAGAAATGTAGATATGGAAAATAGAGTGGTACGGGAAGGAGGAAATAAGGGGAAAGCTAAGATAAGATAGATAAACAAACCTGATCGAAATAAATAAACAAACCTTCTGTACTAATTCGTTTTTTGAGCTCAAATACGCTTCATTCATTAAACTAAGAAATATGTGAGCTAATACGGAACTTATGTATGAGCAGGGGTTCCCAGAAGGGGATTTTATGACGTAAGTTGCGCCATCAAAATTAATGAGAGGGCCACTTTTTGACGGGGATTTCAGTTTTTGAGGGGGGGCACAATCCTACGGGGTTATGAATTTCCAAAATGAAAAGTTTCAAATCAAAAGTCAAGTGGAATCATGGAACATACCACAGGATGTGTAATGGTATATAATCTATGAATATTCTGATTCTACTTTCGTTTGCACTGTTTTTAAGAAGAGAGGAATAAAATATCTTAGGAGCGGTGGGGGAGAGTTTATGCGCCATCGGCCTTGGGGGGGATGGGCACCCCTGTGTATCAGGATCTTTAACAATTATCCTTGACATAGAAAAAGAACTAGTTTAAATCGAGACTTGAAACTAACCAAAATTCAACTATTAGTCTTTATACAAACTACCACTTATTTTAGGAAAACTGTAACCTCTAAATATTCTTCGATAAAAGAAATAGGTAATTATAACACGTGCTTTCTTAAACGCTATATTCACAAATATTTTGTTAAATTTAAATTGTTCATATTGATTCATGTTTATTTTATTTTCCATTCATATTTTTGTACGCACCTATATGCGTCCAAATGTTGCTTGTGTATATATGTATCTTTATACGTATATTTTAATTAATTTACATTAGTTTAGCTATTTTTTATTTATTAAAAATACACTGATGATATGATATTAATTAAAAATGATACATTTATTTTAAAAAAACAGTTTAACAAAAGAGACAAGCCAAATCCTTAGTTTTTTACCATAAATATTACAACGTTCATTTAAATATGTATGAATTTCATTGATGTAACATTCCGGTCCAATTGATATTCATTAACCTAAAAAACGGTTAAAATAAAAATAAGTTCATGCTATTTACTCATTTTCTATCCTAAAGTTTACCCTTGAATTGTAATATAAATATTATAGAAATTGAAAAAAATAATTCGTGTTTAAAATTATTAAAGTTTCTTCTTCAGCATTTACAGCAAACCTCATTAGAGCTCATAAAAATTTAAATATTTAAAAATATAAAACCTAAAATGAATCATTCACTTCTGGCAGGTGTGCGTGAAAAAATTAATTTAAAAAAATGTTTTAACTCTATCAAGTTTTTTGTTGACAGTATTTTTGCAATTTCTTTTTAATTTTCAAAATCCAATTTTTAGTTCTAAACTTTTTATACGTGGATGCAAGTGTATCTGCCTGAAATCATTTATCTCTCTATTAGATAAAAAACAGTTTTCAGTGACTCATATTTTATTTTACAATCACAAAAAATTTAAATTAGTGGGTTCTCTCTATCGTATAAAAAAGTTTTTAGTTTCTGCGTAATAGTTTATTTTCTAATCTTAATAACTTATAATGCAGGGATTATCTGTATTATATAAATAAGTGTTTGCTGACCGTGTAATATTTTATTTTTTTAATCTTAACAAATTAAAATGCTGGGATAAAGATTTGAATTTTTGTCCTGCTTATACTATATTGAAGAAAATAATACAATTTCAACTACAGAATACGTATACATTAAAATTATACATTATTTCCCCCTCTCTTCTTCGCTTTCTAGGCAATGCGGGGTTTTCCGGGCCGAGGGTTGAGATCCCAGAGCTAATGCTGGATTAATCCCAGAGTTAAAAATCCCTCTGGCACCAGAACGCGAACTCATAACTATTCCATTATCTATAACTCCTGGCGGGTTGGTCCGCCGATATTCGAATAGGGTATACCCCTCTAGTATCTCAAAATGTATTAAAATTGAAATGTTTTTTTGTTTTTTCCGAAGAAATATTTGGTTTATGAGAAAGCGATATTGCTCTTTGATAAGAACTACAAAACTATATACATTATCAAATGTAATATAGTTATGTCTAAATCTTTTTTTTTTTTTTTTTGTTTCTTCTGAGCCATCAACAATTTTTAGTATTGGCCCAAACTTGATGTCTGGAATTCGATACTGAGAAATTCCGAGATGTTTCTATCCCGTCAGATCCGTCAGAAGCCACTTAGATGGGATTTAATATTATCTTCCCATCAACTCTTCGTTCGCTACCTGCCTAGCATTCGTAACCCTATTAGTGATTCCCTCATCTTCACGTTTAATACCTTCGCTGGTTCAGTCTTATTTCATGTTACTTTTCTTCATAATTCATATTATGAGTTCTGATAAAATATTACTTTAAGTGCTAATTGTTTTATTTTAGATTATTGCATACTAATATAATTCTTTATTTTTTTTTCACTTTGACGCACCGTTAAAGATATAAAGATTAAAAACAAACAAATGTCTTTAAAACATTTTTTGGCTGTCTGAAGTTCACTTGGGGCATCCCATGCTGTCATTTTTGATTTCCTATTTGCATCCGAATATATATTTATGTAAAAATTTAAAAAAAGGAAACTTCTATTTTATTTCTAAGCATTAGTTACTAACTAAGGTATATAAAGTGATTTTTTTTTCTTCGATAAACCTCCGTCTTAGCATATATGGCATAGGATTTGAGTGGTTGTTCTATAGGTAACAACCAAACCGAAAGAAAAGTTAAGATTCCAGAGGCTGAAACATTTATAGATTTTTTTTTTAAATGCTACTTTAATAGTTTCTGTGAAACATTGTAGTAAAAATGTTTTATATTAAGAAATTTATATTAAATTTTTAAGGAAGTTTTTTTGTAAAGTTCTAGGTAAAATTTTTACTTTTATTCATGTTCTTTTAAAAAAAGTTTGATCAAATGAAAATAAATAATAATTGGGCTTAGATAAGAGTTATAATTTATCCTAAGTAATTCATACTTAATTCTAATTGGTTGTTTATTAAAGTGACTAAGGGTAAAAATCGTTTTTTAAATCGACTTTTTGGTGAAACTAACCAAAATTTTTAAATAAAAGATTTTTTAAAATAAAACTTATGTAAAACCTTTACTTGAAAAGTGGCATGGGAAAAAGTTCTAGTTCCTAAATAACAGAAAAGAAGAAAGATTGAAAATAAAAATTCAAGTCTTACCTAGTCTCTAACCAGGGAATAAATTTCAACTGTCCAGGCCGAATTCGAATCTGCGCAGCTAGATTATTAAAGCAGGCAATGCCTCAACAATCTCGACAATCACCTCGTGGTATTTTTACCTGAAGAAATGTTTTAGAATTTTTTTTTTTTTGTTAATCGAATAATATAATATTCTGTCAGTTGAATAATGGTTATAGTATGTTAAGAATTTATTCACGCTATACGTACAGAAAGTATAAAATAAAGAGAACTACTAAATACTAATTAAAAATCATATACCATAAATTAAAAGAAATTAGCTTAAAGATAAGTAAATTAAAAAAAAAAATACAGACATACCTATGTACTAGATTTAAAGGTATTGCACGAAAGGAAAATTTGTTCGAATCCCGAGATAAAAATAAGTTATGGAATAAAAAAAAAGATAAAACAAAAAGTTCTGTATCATAACAAGAATAATGAATAGTAAAGTTTCATAAACGATTTGAAAGAGTAAGAACTCATCAACTTAAGAAATAGGTCGATCAAAAGAAACAAATGACGATATAGGAATTGTCCGGTAAGGAGACACGGGAGTCGGTTATTCAAAATAAATGTCTGGATAAGTGTTTAAGGCCTCAAGAGACCTAAAACGGGTTGGAATCCTTAAAAGATAACTTGATAAATGGTCTGGTAGTTTTTTTAAGAACAGGATAAAGGAGCATACTGGAGCGCTCCTGGCGGCGGCTGGAGCGTTCGGGCCTTTCCGTGACAGATCGGAGTGGCTGCCATTACCGGGCGGCGGGGCGGGTGGGAGGTCACTTCAAAGAAGGCTCCCCATTGGTCGGCAGGCTGGCGAGGTGGGGGTAGCGCTCCCGTCTCAGTTCAGTTTCACCTGGGATGGCCGTAAGGCATGTTCTCGACTCGCGAGCCGGCTCGCTATAACAATATATACTCTTTGTGTGTGTAGTCTGTAGGCTGTGTGTGTGACCGCGATGGGGGGATGCCGCCCCATGTGATCTACCCCTTGTGTAGTGTCGCTTGTGAGGAAAATGCCGCATGTGTCTAGCGGGAGCGGCGGGGATGACCTCGGTAGTACCGACGAAGTCAAGGTGTTTAAGGATGAGGGTGAAGACGAGAAGAGATCTTCTGAAAATCTCACCGAAGAGAAAAGCAGCCTCATAGATCTCACAGAATCCGAGGTAAACAAAAATCTCTTATCTACCCTGTGTTATCTCCGCAAACGCATGCCTGTGTAGTTTGTTTGCCAGTACTATGTCCCTACCGGCGACTTAGCAACCTGTCAACAACTATACTAGTTGTATTCCAGTAATACAGTTATATTCTCTTAGACTCTATAGTATTTTTGTATTATTAAGATAAATTTGAACGATAACTTTGCTGTGTAATACAAACAAGTCTTTGTTTGACGCGTTGTCAATAACAAATTCTAAATTGAATGCAATTAAAAGTTGACATTCATCTACATTGACAACAAAGATCCAAATATAGTTACATCAGTTCCAATTAGGCGTACGTTCCTTTCTGTATTATAATTCTGACAAAATGCCTTTATTTGAATACAATACCCAGTCCATTATAAAATTTGTGGGTACGTCAGGTATGAAAAGTAATTTGAACACAAGTGATGACAAGGAATCTGTTGTTCGTTGGTAGCTGCCGTGTGTTTACTAACATCTGATGAAAACGATCTACTCGTTTTCTTGGAATTTTACTTCTTCCTGGTCTTTAAGACTCACTTAAATCCTTTTGTAAACATATTTGTTCTGTTTTTTTACTAATTTTTATTTTAATGAGACTTATGTGAATAAAATGCGTATTTTATTATTAATATGTATATAGTCCGTTTTAAATGCTAATAGATCTAAATCCACAAAAAAAGTGAAATACGTGAGAAGAAAGAATGCCCTAGATATGGAGAGTGCAGAGCTGAATGAATGGATGCAGGTGAATTTCACCTGTTCATGGTTCACCAGCCACTAACGAGCTTTCCACCAATCACGTGGCTCCCAGTCTTTGTTTATCGTCTGGCTCGCTTTTCGGAATCCCCCTGTATTTTTTATCTCTCTTTATTTTATGACATTTATTTACGTCACCGTCACCTAATTTTTATATCCAAATTATTTTTTGAAAATTAGTATGACCAATTTTTTTGAGTAGATTATTTCATAATATATATTGATGTAAATCTTTTGTTTGTGAGATTGTTGCATAATCTGTTGAGATATGTTATCTAACGCAGTCGATGTTTTTGTTGCATTTCCTAGTCTATTTTGCAGTAAGCGTTTTAAATTTGTGTTGGTCTTTATTAGAAATCGAAATTAAAACCTACTAAAATTAAATTTTTAAGTAGGTGAATTTTATTTAATTAAATGTAATTATGAAAAATAATAAAATTTTACGAACCTGGCGAAGATATCTTTCAAGTGATTCGTATGCTAATATAGAAATCACTTGATTAATCTCAATTTAAAATCAAACCACTCAAATATTTTTATTTTTTTTTCTAATTCTATGTATGATAAGTTAAATATATATATATATATATATATATATATATATATATATATACCCACTCATACACACACACACACGCACGCAAATATCCACTTATTGTGTTCATCGCTTTCAGTCAATTTATATTCATATTTACATTTCGTTGTTTATATAAATGAATAAGGAAATGCTTTTTGGCTCAGGTTGTGTTAAGTAAATGTTTACCAAAAGTTGGTCAATGCTACTGCGTTGTTTACGAAGAATCACTACAACGGGTTTCGTTCATATCTTTCCGTTTATTACTTCCTATCATAGAATTTCGTAAAATGTTATAAATTTTCCTTTTTCGTTCTTTCGTTCTCTCCATTGTTATCAGTATATTAAATGCTTCATTTATTTTTTTTTTAAATAGCATGAGTTTAGTCATTTATTTTATTATTAACAAATATATTTAATTTTTGTTGAGTTATTTAGTTCTGTGGATTAGCTTAGAGTGTTTCTCCTTTGTATATTAATCCTATCAATCCTCAATAATATAAACTTTTTCTACCGTTAATATACTATACTTTCACTAAGAAACAGTTTAATAACAAATGTAGTTATACGCTACATAAATTAACATAGCGTCAAATCTCTGGTTTCTTCGGAGATTTATTGTTAATAATGTTTATTTATGGTTTAATAATGCAAATATTGGCTATAGAATTGCATGAAAACATTTTACGTTTTGTTACTTGAAATGAGTAGATTTTTATAAAGTATTTTCTTCTAATGATATGTAAAAAAAATTTTTAAATATATATCTTTATAATATAATCCATTTATTTATATATAAATACCGTTTCGAGCCCGTTATCTTATTTTTTAATCATCTATAATTAAATTTATATTGAGAATTATTTACTGATTTTTAATTTAGTTACATAATATTTTCTGAGAAATTATTTAGATACATTTTATTTTATTTCTTTTCTCTAGAATTATTTGTTTTTCAGTCCACATATCTTTTAATTCTCTTTCGAAATCTGCGAATAATAGCTGCTAAAGAAAGCGACTATGTAAGAAAAAAATCATTTTGTTTGAAATGTTTAGATTATATTCAACTTAACATTATATATGCGGTTATTCATTCCACTTTACACATGCACACCCGAATTTTAAATATTTCAAAAACTAATCAGGATAATAGTTGAAAGTTCTTTTATTAATTTATATTTTTAATTCCATCTCGACTTTTATTTATTTATTTTAGTGTTTAGCGATTTAGAATAATTTTTAGATGTTTTTTCTTTCTTTTTTTTTTTTAAATATTATAATCTCTCACGTAGAAAATAATTATAGCGATATATGAACACATTCACACCATATATACAGAAAATATAAAATTAACAAAAGTAAAATAATGACTAAATAATAATAAAAAATTATGTACAATAAAAATAAAATAACATAAGTATTTTAGGTGTTAATGGATACTTAAATTCTCTTCACCGTTTATTAGATAAAAAAATAAGTGTAACTAATTATTTTGTTTGGGTCATACTTGAATTTTAGCATATTTACACCGAGCTTTTTTAATTATATTATTGTCATGATTATATTTCCACTTCCAATAAAAATTAATCTTCCCATTTACTTCTTGTTATACCCCTTGGAAGTTGAAGCGTTGGCTAAACCTTCATAACGTTTATGGTGACCTTTTGACAGATTTGTCATTAATTTTGTATTACCACTCCAATCTTTCTTCCTTTTTTTTGTGTGTGTTAATATACAATCTTTTATATTTTATTTTTATTAATATCGCATGAGTTCGATGATATGTTGTATTCTTATTTACGCAAGGCTTTTTTCGGTCATTATCAATTTATTGTTTTTCCTACATTTTTCACGTACATTATGTAATTATAAATGTTTTGCATGTTTTTGCATAATTTAAAAATTAAGAGTTTGACTTTTTTCGCATGCCATTTTGAGACTTATTTAGTTACTATTAATATTTAATCTTTCGCTTTCCTGCTTGGTAGTTGGCACTTGATGATTTTCTCATTAGTTATAATTCCTGGTTATTCCGTAATTTTCGCTTAATATTAAAGCTGATAGGATGAAAGATCTCTTTGGAATGTAAGTTAAATTATTACACGATGTTCTTAATCTATTTTCTTAACTTTATGTAGATCTATTTGAAAAAAAAAAAATGTATAAAAGCGTGTTTAAAAAAGTGAAAAGGTATAGTTACGTACACCAATAGTAATAAAATAGGGGAGATGGAAACATGTAAATGAATGGTTTTGAGGAGGTTGATTGACGTATTTGAATTTAGCTTAGTTTTGGGAAAAGGGAATTTTTAATATCTTCTTTGAACTATATATAATATAATGTATTAAAAAAAAAAAAAAAACTGCCACAACAACCTATGAAAAGGGTTCAATGGTTCATAAAGTTTTTTTTTCTTTTTATACTTCATTGTGTTATGTTACATTCTGTCCACAACTGGGAACATTTGTAACAGTGATAAAAGAGTTCATTCGTACTTTGTTTGACATTAATTAAATATAATAACAGCAAAATGAGTATTAAAAATAAATATGTATATATCTATAACAGTTGTTTATCAAATATATATATAAATAATAATAATAATAATGTTATGTGCATGTGATATAAATGTTTTACAAAATATGTTATATGCAATATTCACCACTTCTTTTATATATATATATATATATATATATATATATATATATATATATATATAAAACAAAATAACAACTGTTTCTTGGTCTATGTATAAGTGTGCATTGAGGAAGGTCAAAGGCAAAATTATTTAATTAAGAATAACCACTTTAGAGAATGTTGGTGTGCCCAGGAAGATCCTCCGAACCTACTGCCTATCGACGATTGGATGTAACAGAATTAATAATCAACTACCACAACTGAATTCGAACCTGGAACTTAGCGCCCTGCTCACTGAGCTATCCTGCTCCCTCACTTCACATATGAAGATTATGTTCAATGAGACTTGATTATCTCTGGTACTTCTGTTGGTGGGGAGAACTATTCCTACAAGTGGGCCTTGTGCTCCGGTTTACCAACCTCTGACGGCTACCTTGAGGTTCTTACCGGAGTGGGAGTGTCAAGTTTCATTTCCCGGGGCTGACGAGAAATAAATAATATTTAACTAAGGCGGGAATCGAACACAACATTCAGAACCTTCTGGGACTTGCGCCCCGATTTGCTCGTCCATATCACGTCTTCTATCTCTAGTATTAGTATTCGGGATGTGATATCTACTCCCATCGTAGTTCGTAGTGTTTAGAAACTGTAAGGTTCAGTTATTTTTGTCCGAAATGTTTTAATCAAATAAAAAAAAGTTTTGATATAAATGTTTATGTTTTGTAGAGGTAAGTTGGTAAAAGGCGAAGCACACGTAAGGGCTTTAGATATCTTAAGCCGGCTCAGGCTCCTTAGAGAGAATGTTTGATCGAGCCTTGCTTGGGAGGTAAGCCGATAGGCGCGCTAAGTTCGCAGGGGATTTGTGGGTTATTCCAGCCCAGTGGGGTTTACTCGGACATCGTCTCTTTCATCTTGTATTTTTAGTATTTTATTATTCCCCTCTCCTTCTTCTCCTGGATTTTTTTTTATATTCTATAACTATTTTTATAAAAAAAATATTATATCATTCCTCGAAGAATGTTGGGAGAAAAAAGGATTTACTGCGACGGACCAATATTGGGAAAGTGAATACATAGCTAGGCGATTTATTTTATATCGTATATCTGTATTTTATATTTATAATCTTGTGTTCTCATTTAGTCTCAACCATTGGGGAATGCATATTTATAGGGAACAATTTTATAAACTGCATCAAATCCTAAAATAATTTTAAATCATTAACATACTATACTAATACTGGACTACAGATACTTAATTAATCTACGATACAAGCATCTTATCTACAGCACTATGCCTAGACTTTTGGAATTCGGCAAAACAAAATACAAGCCACAAAACAAATTCTACGAATAATTGTTAAAGCACCGTGATATATTACAAATAACGACTTTAATATTCAGATAGTAAAATCCCACGACAAAATACTGCATTTCATTCATCAACTAAAAATCACTTCAATGCAATAGTTCTTTCAATTCCTCCTGTTACCTGCTCGACGCGTAATAAAAATAAAATGGCCAGGAATGTTACTTACCAAATTAACGTCTATTCTCAGATAATCAATAAACCAATTTTGATTAATACACTACCGCGTAGTTGTATAAGGCGTAGAAAATTAAAATAATATAAAAAGATACTAATCCCATTTAATACCTTACTTGTTCCTGTTGAACAGATTCGCTGCCTAGGACTCAATCTGGACAAACGTCCTATCTTGAATACTCATAGAAGACTTGAAAGACACGTTAGACGAATCCTGCTACTTAACCACTTACTTGACGAACGCTCTAAACTTGTAATTGATTATAAAAGAC